AAGTTATTTAATGATAATGAATACTAGATAATCAAATAAGCCTAAAGCTCAGGTGTAATAAATTATCAGCCAAAGATAAGAAACCTACACAATTCCATGAGGGATTTGCAATTCTTCCACATATGTCAAACATTGGCACAGGGAATCAGCGTGTTTCCTGACTGCATTGTTTCTCAATCACTAAAATACTGGACGTAGCAGTTTCACACCCCCCCATGTGACTGTGAGAAATATTAAGGTACTGGACTTTCCTTTGCACTTGCTCTTCCATCCGAATCTTAAAATCCTATCTTTCCTTCAAAGAATGTTCAACTTGATCCCTTATGCAAGATAATACTCCCCTGTAACTGTGGCACTACATGGCAAAATGAGTGCAAACCAAGGAGACAGCTAGAATGAATACAAATGGAATTTAATGGACAAGCTTCTAATGAGCTTTAAACTATACTTTTTGTATTTTTATCTATAAGTATAAATATATTTTGAAATGTACATAAAATAAAACCTGCAATTTAGTGAGAAACACCCTAGAATCCATAGACTGAATAGAATCCATAGACTGAATAGGTTATGTAAAATTCAGAGGACTGGAAAGAAAAAAAAAACAACACTGAGATCTGCAAAAAGCAGATCAAGCCAAGGAGTGCATTTCAAAATATTAAGTGAAAACACTAAGTAAAGAAATGATAAACATTCACTAGCTTCTAAACCATTTAAACATTAAAGGTTACGGGGGCTGGTTTATTTTGACAGGTGATCTAGAGGGGAATTTAAATCCTGGTTCCACCTACTAGCACAACAAGCAATTATGGAGTCCAAAAGTTCAAGTTTGTTTCCAGGTCAGAGAGTTGCCAGCTCATGTCCTCTTGATAATGTTTGTTAGAGAAATCCAGCTCACTGACATCTGTTTCACAATAAAACCCCCAAAACTGCCCTTGACCCTACCCTTAGATGCCAACAAATTTAAAAAAATACAGCAAACACAGAGAATAAACACCCACCACGTTCCTAGAACAACTTCTCAAGTTACCCAATGGCTCTGGCAAAGCTCACTCATGCTCTCCTTGTCCCTGTGAACTATGACTTTCATTCTCAGGATTAACTGAAACAAAATTCACTTGAGATACCATTCCATTATTTTCAGGATTTCTTCTCACTTCACAAAACCAAGCAATGCAGTGGTGTTCTGGCTGGAAGGCCAGACTCCTTCAGTCTATGCTTAAATGTTTCACTGATCACAAACACAAAATACAAGTCTGTTTTTATCCACCATAATTAGTGCAACCAACCGTATGGCTTATAAGTAAACCAGCCATTTACACAACTGTTCAGATTTTCTGGAATGCCCGTGTCTATCCAAAACTACAACTACTACCAGGCTTCCAGCTCCCAGGGACCACACAGATCAGACAAAACAGTCCAGACCTTACACCTTAATCACTTCCAGTTTAATGATCTCAACTGCACTGCCTGCAATGTCTTTCTGATCCCTACAAGACATGTACAACGCCCAGAGATAACTTTCAGTGAACCATTTCCCCTGCTTTCTAATTCAAATTTCAAGTCCATTCTCACCTTCCTTTATCTGTTTGCCAAAAGGCACATGATAATCAACTTAAGTTGCCAATGTGCCCTCAGTTGTGCCATCAAAATGTCAGTCACAGCAATTTTTTAAAATCCACAATAACTAGTGATTTTTTTAATCCTTCCCTAAGACTGAATTATTGGAAAATTAGAGAGAACTTTCTTGCTACCCTCCCTTAGAACCTGTTCTTGGCAACATTACCAGTATGATGCAAGCAACATCTGTTTTGGCCAAGTACTTTATTGATTACTGAGGTGACAGACAGAGCTTTTTCCTGCATGCTGTTCAAACCTTCAGCTGTCAAACAAAGTCCTTGTGATTTCTATGCAGCACGGGTACAGAGTTCCAGTTATCTCAAAAACTCCAAGAAAGTATTTAAATAGCAAAAAAAATGCATGCAGTAGCAGTTTCAGCAACAGAAAATGTTTAATATAAAAAAGCAGCAGAGCTAGAAAAATATAAGCAGAGATCTTGTAACAGAATTCCCCCAAAGCCTGAAGGGAACCTACATAAAGATCACAAGATGATAAACTACAGATTACAAGGTGAACAGTTCAGGGAAGCATGAGATGGAGATGCACGCTGATCCACACAGACGTCTAAGGCAGCATTTTAACGCTCTGCTTTTAATTTTGCCGCTAGAGCAACGACTTTATCGAGCTCCAGAAAGATGAGCATTTCTGCCCTGACGTTAAAGCGTGTGACGAGGAGAAGGAGAAAAAAAACCACAAAACCAAAACAAACCACAACACACCAAAAAACCAACCCGCTGCGGCGCTTCTGCCGGCAAACCCGCCGCGAAACTTCCCAAAAAAAATAAAAGCTGCTACAAGTTGGGCGCAGCCCCCGAGGGGGGGAAGCCCGGGGAACCAGCGCCCGGGCCCCGCAGCCCTGGGAGCCCCGGGCCGGGCCCCGCAGCCCTGGGAGCCTCAGGACCGGGCCCCGCAGCCCTGGGAGCCTCAGGACCGGG